AAAAGGAGGAAATATCTGAGATCTAAATCCACTGTCCTTCCACTGGCCAATACCTGTACTTCAGAGACTCACAGGAGGCAGAGCCCATCACAAAGCCAAGAACAGCTTAGCCTTCTTCACACCCTCCTCGCTGCTTTGGGACAGCGACTCCCTATGTAGCCCAGGGAGGACTCAAACTCAGAGCCGGCTTACAGGTGTGCACACCACATCCAGCTCTCTATGGTTCTTTTCATGTTAACCAGATAAACTTCATAAGGAAGATCTGCTTTGTGGACTATCGATTATCCCTTATCTGGTGTGGGGGCGGTGGCAGAGGCTTTTGCCTAGACTAGTACGTGAATCGCATCTGCTTGGCAAATATTAAGCAGCAGCTGGGAGGCCTGTGGGAGAAGTCTTAGGAGCCCAGCCCAGGCCTGAGAGGAGGGAAGTCAGACAGCACTACTCACAGCCTGCCAACACAGGCCTCACGAGTCAAGTGCACTGGAGTTGGAAACAGGTTACTGTGGGGCTAAACAGGAACAGCTCCAGTCCACGGGGGGCTTCAGGAAAAGCCTGCTGCTAAAGCAAAACAAGCTTGGCAGATACTAGGATCCCTCTAGGAAGCTACGGAACGGCACCTTGAAAGCCCCCAAATAAACAGACGGGAAGTCTGTTCCGGAGGAGAATGGGCAGCTGGGAGTGTGCTGAGGACCACAGCTGCAGCTGGAGCGCTGGGTGCCAGCACTCACAAGGGCTGTGCACTCAACCAGCAAAATGCCAGAAGAGGAGGCGATAATAACCCACACCCTCAGTGGATACAGGGAACAAGATGGAAAGTCACAGCACACGGAAAACAGACTGTGAAAAGCCAGCAGCCATCCAACACTGAGCCTAGTGACAGACACTGTCCAAACCAGGATAGGCAGCCACCACTCAGGGAGTCAGGCACTCCAGACCTGCACTGGCAGGCACTCTGCAGGCAGGGCTCTCTCTGACTCCCCTAGAGCCATGTCACAGGGCTGCTGTGCATAGCTGTAACAAAGGACAAGCTGGGAGCACCTGCTGCCAAGAGCACTCACTCCTAAGTGAGCTCCGGGACACCGAGCCTCTGCCCCTTCAGGTGACTGCTGGAGAATTTCACGTTCTTCCTTTGATGGCTTAAAAATGTCACAAACTGACTTCCTTTGCTCATTTTCCACAGCATCCCACTCACCCCTTGTGGGCCTGCTGTCAGGAAGCCACTGTGAGAAGTCACATCCTGGCCACTGCCTATGCTCCCGTCCCTCTATAAAGAAGGTCTGTTTGTTTACACTCTCTCTACCCTGATCCCATTAAAGATCTGAATTACTAGAGCACATACGGAGTGGGTTAGGAAAATCACAGAAATCCAGGACCAAGGAACTGTTAAGGATGCGGAGACTACAGGCTGGTAACACAAACCACAGGAGTCTGGGGGAGGGGGGAGAGATCACTCCTCAAGGGAGGCAAAGCCATTTGGCATCTGAAAGAAACTTCTTATCTAAGTCTTCCTCTAGGGTACACAACCTGAGGAAGGTGCTATAGACAGGAGCCACGTGTCTGCACACCCCTCAAGACCTCAGGCTCCACAACACCTGGGGTTCCCTGAGAACAGGAAGCCAAGTAATACCCCATCCATCTCTGGATGCAGAAGCTGTCTACCAACCCAGCAACACCCCTGCACCTTAGCCATGCCACCTATCAACACTCTGTACCCACCCCCATGCAGGCACTCCACCTGTCACCCAGCAACACCCCTACATCTGCACCATATGGAAGCTCCTGTTACCAAGCAACACCTCTGTACCCCCGTGTACATGTTCTGCCTGTCACTCAACAACTCTGCAACCCTCCTCACCATGCAGGTGCTCCACATGACAATCCTCAACATCCACCTGGTTGTCACCCACTACAGCTTAGGGAGATAATGGAACAGAGATACGCTACCCACATGAACCAAGGCTGCAGAGTGTCACAATGGAATTGGACCCTTCCCTTCCAAGGCCTGAATCTCTAGCTGAAGATCAGCTAGCTTCTCCTAGAACAGTAACCTAGTTACCTACTTATCTCAGAAGGCTCTGTTAAGTTGGGAGCATAGCCCCCAGCCCCTGGCATCCATCTCAGCACTCCTGGCCTGGACTCCAAATCCCAGCATGCCAGGACCACTCCCACAGGGTATTTAAGTGTGCTCCCAGAGAAGAAACACATGGTTTTCGGGTCTGCATGGGCTCCCTGCTGTCCTGTCTCCCTGCCATGCGCTCGGCCACCCGAGAGCGTCATTCTTAATAAAACGATGGGCATTTTGATTCGGTTTGATTTGACCTAATTAGAGCTGTCTTATTATTTTTACTTAACAGGCTTCACGTCATCTTTTACAAAAGTTGGTTAAATGAGTAAGCAGTACATCATTTGGCAAACACATTACATTGAAAATACCCTAACGTCTTTCACTTTTTCCTGATACTTCCATTTTAAGAGGTTTGATTACAAAAGTACCCATGCATGCTAGATGGGTATAATTAATGTATGAAAATTAATGGGGCACGGGCTGGAGAGATGGCTCAGCGGTTAAGAGCATTGCCTGCTCTTCCAAAAGTCCTGAGTTCAATTTCCGGCAACCACATGGTGGCTCACAACCATCTGTAATGAGGTCTGATGCCCTCTTCTGACCTGCAGGCATACACACAGACAGAATATTGTATACATAATAAATAAATATTAAAAAAAATTAATGGGGCTGTAAGTTTATAAACTGTGCACATTTAAGATGTAAGTTTATTTTAACATTTAAAAGAAAATGCCCATTTCAAGCAGTCAAGTAAAAATTTTCAACTAGTCATAATACAAATAATATAGAAAAATACATGTGTGTGCGCACAGGCAATAAGCTATTACTTGTACAGTTAAATGTGGTAGAGCAAAAGGGGAGGGAGGGAGGGTGTGTGTGTGTGTGTGTGTGTGTGTGTGTGTATAAAAAGAATGGGCCACCACCACTAGGGAAACGTGGTGCTCTGGCCACTCAGTTGGGTTTCAGAAAACAAAGCCAGCACTTTAAGTCACATTAGTGAAGAACAAATTTGCATCTAAACACTGCACCTGATGGGACAGGGAGGGAGAAGAACACCCCTCACCTGGTAGAGCAGATTTTAACAAGAGCGTCAATCCACCCATGCACAGCTCCAGGGCACTGTCAATCTTCCCTTTCAATTTTCAATAATGAAAATTATGTGTTTTCATAATGACTTCCCACCAGAATCCCCAGAAAGCAAACGCACTCGCTCCTGAGGTGGAGGGGAAGAGGGGAGGGCGCAGCTGTTTTAAGTTTTAAAGTAACACTAGACAGCAGACTGAATTATTCCGGGAGCATTAATATGGTAAAAGGGAGGCCTTTCTGCTACAATGAACATAAATTGGATGTTGATGGGCCCTCTGCAAGCATCACGAGCTTTAGCTTCCCTGTATTTATGGTTCATGTATTAGAGAAGCAACCAGTTCATTCCTGGCTCTGCAATTAACACTAATGGGTTTTACTTTAGTCAGGATCCCACCTGTACTTTGGATTATTTGACTTCTTTCTCTTACATTTGAAATATAACTCCCAAAACACCAGGCTCTGATTGCCTCCTTTGTTTGCAAGTGATTTACATTAGAAGAGGATCTTAAAATTTGCTGTTGGCCTGAAAGCCCCCATTCAACCTCACAGGCTGTTTCCCTGGGCTTCCTCCCCTACTCTGTTAGGAAACCTAACTGAGTACTCTCACAAGGAGAGAGCCGGGCAGCTGAGGGCCTCAGCCTCCACTGCTAGCTCAGGAAGCTGAGCTGCACAGAAGGGGCTCACTGACCAAGCTAATCCAGCACAGCCCGAGTGTCAGAGAGGACAAGACATAAAGGTGAGGTGTTTCACAAACACATCATCCCAGTAATCAATTCTCTAAAACTACAAGAGGACTGACATTTCCTGTGGAAGTAAAGCGTGGCATGGTTAGCCTGTGCTATGACTGTGACCCAGTCATTAAATTATTTCTAAGAAACTAAAAGCATTTAAGCCAACCTGATGCTCTTTGAGCAAATCTTACTAATTGTCTAAGGCAGCAAGAAGACTTCACTTATTTCTAGTTCACACAACTGTGACTTGTACAGTGGTACATGGAAGTAAATTATGGGCTTTTACAAGTCGTTCCACAACACAGCTACATGTCTCTAATTACATTTTACTTGGTTGGACACTAGCTCCCTTTCTATGGTCCTGTCCCTCAACCTGGATTTCAGTCAGAGACACAGACTCTGAGGAGTTCTGAGTCGATGCTGTCATGTAATAACGTGCTCTCTGCTCCCTCAGTGCAGACTCTGACTCTATGCAGCCCCATGCTGATGACTGCCACACTGTCTGGCATAGCTTCTGCCTTTCTGAGCATGGTCATGACTTCTGGAACAGTACACACACTCTTTTAAATAGGAGAGGACAGCTGACTATGGCGGCACACCCCTACAATCCCAGGACTAGGGAGGTGCAGGCCGGAGGACCAACGCCAGCATGATATATGAGACTTTGTCTCAAAACAAGTAAGTCAAATAAATCAGAACAAACACAGGTATAAATTTGTCAGAGTAAAATTTTTAAGAAAACAAAAATAATAAACATTAGTAAGTACATGTTAAATAGCACTCCTACAGGAAGGAAACAAATGTACAAAGCAAAAACAAGGTAAGAGAAGTCACGCTCTTCCCCAGAGAAGCTCAAAATAATCCCAAGCAGGTCAAGGAAAGACTAAGAATAGAAGTGGAAGATGGCGTGGCTCAGTAGGGAAGCATAAGAGTGCACAGGGCCCTGGCTCTATACATGTGCACACAAACCATGACGGAACAACGTCAACAAGGAAAAGCACCTAAGATCTTCCCTTGGAGATAAGGTGCCCATCAGCTCAGGACACAGAAAAGGGCCGTGTGTTAAACAGTTGAAAGTTTGCACAGAACTGCTGAAGGGTGCTGGCGCCTGAACCCACCTGGTCACATCCGGCGTTCACCAACTCCTGAAGCATCTGCCGGTTTACTTCTGCTGTGGCCGAAGTGCCCGATTCATTGGCAAAAGGCAGTAGGGAATATCGGATTTCCCTGAGCGCTTTTTGGTAAGGTCCAAACTTGGGGGTGGCTCTCATCTGCTGCTGCCTGGAGGCATCTTTGCTCCCCAGGACTTTGGCGTCCAGGGAAGTATCACTGTTTGGTCCCACAGGCAGCCCTTGGGTGGAAGACTTGGACGGCTGCTTTAGCCCCTCACGGATCTCTTGCAATCGCTGCCGGCTATTTCCAGAGTAAGTTGTGGCAGGAAAAGTCTTTGGCCTCATCGTTAGTCCAGTTTCCTTTTACCATAAATACAATCTTCTCAATGTGTCTTATTATTTAAAAAGAGAACGGGCAATCGCATCAGTTAATTGTAAACATATTTTCAGAACAGCTTCCTTTCAAACATCTTCTGTCCTTCAATTTCTGTAGTTTCTAAAGAGAACCTAAAAATTTCCAGAGTTTTCATTTTGAAGATCATCATTCCCTGAAAAAGAAAACAGGACAAAAACATTCGTTTGGATTTCACATCCTGTTAAAGTTGCTTTGCAGAAATGCACGGTGATCTGGAGATATTCTACCCAGAGAGTAAAGAAGCAGCGCATTGCCTTCAGAAGCGTCAGTACTATCTTTCTTGCTCTAGAGCCACCCCAAGAAAGTTCCTGTAACAGGAAGCCTACAGCTGAGTGCACCCCCACAAACACCACGCGGGGCAACACTGTAGTCTCAACAACTGCCAGCTCACTGTCATGTAATTCTGGACACAGCTTGAGGATTTGGGGTTAAACATACTAAGTACATTTCTGGCTTGTCCCTAATATCAATCAATTCCTGATCCTCACCCCTGTCCCTGTGGCTCTCCTCAACATCCTCACCCACCTGTGGCTGTGATCCTTCACATTTTTTGAAAAATTTCCTGATGAAACCCTCTCCAATATTCTGAAAAATAAGGTCAAAACTCATCATATTGAAGGGATCTTCCACTGCAGTTCAAAGCTGTTTGCACTCAGTACCTTGAGTATGCTTTATGCTGAGAGATGGCTCAGAGGACCAGGATTCACTTCCCACCACCCACAGGGTAGGACACAACCACTGTAACTCCAGTTCAGGGGATCTAATGCCCTCTTCAGGCACCAGCCACAAATGTGGCGCACATACATACATACATGCAGGCAAAACTCATACGTGTGAAATAAATACATGTTTAAAAGGGAAGCAAGAGAGAGCCAGAGAGTCCCTCTTAGCAAAGTCGTGCTTAGGAGTGGGAGACTATCCTCAGGATGTGCACTGGGACTTGTCGCTGGCCTGGCTAACATGTGGTCTGCTCCTCTCGACGCTAGTCAGCAGCCCCAGCTACTAGCTGCTCCAGGATCACAAGGGAGAAGCATGACGCTCTGCAACATTCTGAGCTGTGAGGGTCTGTGGGTTGAATATATCTCCCGCTTACAGTATTTCCAACTTACGATGCATCTATCAAAAGGTAACCCAATCACACACCAAGAGGCACTGGCACCCACCACAGCGAAGCCTCGGCCCTCTCCACTGTGCCCTCTCACAACTGTCTTCACCCGCAGGGGCCCTTTACCTGTTGTCGTTTGCCCTCCCCCAACTCCCTCTCACTCTACAGAGCCCAGTAAGTTGACTTCAAAGGATAAACTTTTGAGTTTCAATAAACAAGGCTAAAACTACCTCCTCAAAGAATAGCCTCTAAAGAATCGGGGCTTCTAGCTTCAGTAGGTAACCCCACAACTACAAACAAGACCTTGTTTATAGACACCTTTATGTGTGGTAGAAATAAATAGTATTATCCAATACTGACTACAGGCCAGAGACTGTCACAAGTTTTACTTGAATTAACTCATGTTACATAACCACATACAGCAGGAAATACTAGAAATAACATTAAAATGACTGCTTTGTATGGGGACAGCGGTCTTTACTGCCACAACTTTCCACGTTATTGGAAGAACTGAGGAGAATCCACAAAAAGAACCAGACTAAATTCTCAACGTGAAATCTCTATTTTAATACAAGGTTTCTAGTACCCTGAGAGTCACTGAAATAGTTGTATAAGGCAATAAAGAGAGTGGGCTATGAGATCCAAACAGCTGAGCCCCTGGCCCAGGCTGGCTAAGGCCCAGGAGCCTAGAACTCTGCTGGGCTGGTGTAAAATGGGGCATATTACAAGCACATGCATCTCCAGGACTTCCTGGTCTGAGCATCTGTTTTGAAAGACCTAGATCTCTACAACCATAAGCTCACATTTCAACAAACCCGGAGGGCTCCTGAGAGCTCGCAGAGCACGTGCGGAGGGTCCTGGAGAGACTCGAAAGGCTGGGAACTCGAAAGGATACTGCTTTTCGCCCAGAATTCACACAGACATGTGGTGTCTAAGCTTCAATTTTCTTCCCTTTCTTTGAAAATACCTATGATAAACACTTGATAAAGGGCACTCGGGGAGAAAGGGTCTGCTTGGATCCAGGTTACAGCCCATCATTAAATGACACCTGTCAAACACAGAAAACGCAAGCGTTCCTGCTCCCTCAGCCCAGGATCCCCCAGAATGGTGGGGCTCACACGAGTGAGTCTTCTTCAGTGGAATACAATACAATCAAAACTGTCTCCACAGACATGCCCACGGGCCAAACTGACCAAGCAATCCCAATAAGACTCTTTCCCATGTGACTATGACAATTAATCTCACAGTGCTTTATAAGGCATGGACTTGACACAGTGCGTTTATGCTACCCTCTACTCAGTATCTAGCCTATCTACTCTGCAAACAGGGAAGGAAGTGTCTTTTTTAAAAAAGGTTTAAAAAATTTACTTTCTCCGCATAAATGTTTGCCTCTATGTATGTGTGTGCACCCGATGCATGCCTGGTTCCCGGAACTGGAGTGAGTGAGACCCATGCAGGTATTAGGGATGGGACCCTCATCCTCTAACCCCTGAGACATCTCCCCAGCTCCTGGGGGCATCTTTTTTGAGAGACGGCCTTGCTCTATAGCAAATATAGGAACTCCCAGTCCTGTTGCCTCAGCCTCCCCACAGCTTATGCCTACTAAGCTTCAGACAGTGACAGAATGAGCAGGAACCTCGCCTTCAGCAGTTCACAGTGAACTGGGGCAGAGGGTAAGGGAAGCAAGGACTGAGAGAAAGAGAAGCCCAAAGGAGAGGAATCCAGCACAGGATGGAGGATGGAGGGGAAAGTCAAAGAAGCAGAAGATAAGGAGTCTGACTGGGGGTGGGGATGGGGGTGGAATTCCAGCTGGAGGGAAGAAGGCAGGCTCCTCTACAGGGCTTAGGACAGTGAGGCTGGGGACAAACCAGAAGATTCTCTTGAAGTGCCTTTAGCAAATGTCATTCTAGTCTCGGTGCAGAAGCCAGGCTAGTAGCAGGGCCCTGACCAGAAATCTGGGGACTGATTGAGAGATGTGGAACAGGGAAGGGCTTCCGGACCTAGTCACACAAAGCCAGAGGTCTGGGCTTAAAGGCATAGGTAGCTATCGTCAGAGTCCCAGGTATTTAACCAGCCTGTAGGCTACCCATTCACACATGCCATAGGGTCATCAGGACAGAGAGTAGATGTCCCTCGGGAACTTTCCTTTAGGAAGGTACGGTCTGTACAGTCAGACTTTACTACAAAGGACCCTAGCGGACTACAGAAAACGAGAGCCCTTTCACACATCTCGCCAGGGCGAGGGCTGTGCAGAAAACAGCCATACAAAGTTCTGTTAAACGAGAGCAAGCCACATTTCCTGCCCATCCCATAGTGAAGGCTGGGTCACGGTAACAAAGAAAGCCCTGGTGGGCTCAGACCTTCCAAGTTTCCCTGGGATTTGTTCTGAAACAGAGGCTGCTCCCAAGAAAAAAAGGACTGGGGACCACGGGCAATCTTTTCCTAGCACACGATCATTAGGCTGACAGCATTCACAAGGAGCTCAGATGCTCAGAAACTACACCAGTCACATCAGACGGCACACCACCACCCCCCATGCCCAGATCGGGGACACCCATTTTCTTGACTTCTAATACCTAGGATCAGTCTGACCAGCTTTTGTACTTTCTACCATGTGGTTATTCAGCCTCTGGCTTCTGTTTCACCACTCTGGGCACGACGCTTGCTCACTCATCCATGCCACAAACGGCGGCAGCCCTCACCCATCGTTAGACGGTGCTGGTGCCTCTCAGGTCACTCTGGACCAGCTCAGGGCCTGTAGCAAGAGGCAGGGGCGAGGGGGTCTGCTCTAAGCCCTTGCTTCCCACATCAGCACTTGCTACGGGTTCCTGGGAGGCCATGGTAGCTGATGTGACATCTGTGAGGAAAGAAGAAGATGTGTTTCATTTCTACTGTGCAGCGGTTCTTGCCCCGGGACATTTCCCAAGGCTGGCAGGCACAGCCCTGACCACAGACAGCCAACTCTGATGCCGCCTGTCATAACCTGGCATGGAGTGGGACAGGAAGAGTCTAAACCAAAGGGATGGTGGGAACTGGACCAACTTCCAGACGTGGGAAAAACTGAAATGGGTCTCAGCAGCACAGGTCACAGAAGAGGCAGTCACGAGTACTGTGCAGAAAACGTTCACACCACCAGCGACGGTGACTGCTGCTGCCTGCGTCCTCTGAAGTGGCCCAGAGTCTCCAGTTATGCTGAACACGCACTCGAATGATGGCTATACTTGTGGTATGAGGCCCACCCTCATACATGTAGGACTTCTGACAGTCGACAAACTGAACTTCCATACAAGGGGTGCCTCTCACTGCTTAAGAATGAGATTCAGACTGTGCAGCTTAAACTTCAAGACGGAAGACAGACAAAATAACCAATTATTTAAGCACAAATGTGTTAATGAAAAATTGACAAAAACAAAGAATTCTAGGGCTCTAACACAGGCTAGTATCTGGAAGATAAAGAGAAGTGGCCCAGTCTAATAGCACTGAGAGGTAGCACCCATCAGACCTGGTGATGCTCACAGGAAGGGCTGAAGTAGTGTATCACAGCGATACACACCTAAGGGTTCAGAATGAGCAGGATAACATTTTACTCAGATCAGGAGACAAGAAGCAGCCAAAACTCAGCATGGTAACTGAAGACACCAAGCTGAATACAGAGGCAGAATGTCCATGTGTCTCCTTTGTCAGTCAGGGTGTGAGGATGGCCTGGGAAACTGAAAACGACTTCTGAGTGTGGAAGAGAAGAGCACAAGCGAAAAAAGCCACTCCAGCCGTGTCCCAAGCCAACTGAGACATGGACCTGAAGCCAAGCACTAGGTTGCACAGGTCTGAGCAGTAGCTCAGCTTCAGGAAGTGACCACAGCCCAACAGGCAGGTTGGAGTTGACTCTTAGGTCTCATGCAACTTAAAAGCACCAGGTCTGTCCTTGCATCTGAATGGCACAGGCCTATATGCCACTGAGAAGAGACAATCCTAATACCTGATGGCTCACTCCCCTGGACTGCAGGCAGGGTCTCCCTGGCTCAGCAACC